AGAATTATAATGTAATTAAGTAAAACAAAATTCTTAAATATTATAAATACATTATTAACATCAGGAAGAGCAATATCTGCTACTTTAACCCATTGTTCTTTATTTTGTCTTCTATAACGATCAAGCCCAGCCATAGATTGATGAAGAGTAAGATTCATTATTGCTTGAGGATCTAAGATATTGTTAATAAGTTTTTGAGCTATAGTTTTGCATAAAGAATGATTGACAATATGACAGTTTGTACAATTAATTCTAGTTAATTCACATATTGTTTTTAGAACTTTTGATAATGAATCTCATCCTATATGAAAAGGAGTATACCAAATTCCTTTTTCTATTCCTAAAATTATAAATTAATATATAGTAATACATAATATGTGTAATACAAATTAATTAAACTAACCATATTTATCTTTATTAATTTGTAAAAATAAATTTGGCTCTGTATTTGCTGGTCACATATTTAAATATTTCTTAATATTAGTGTATGCACCAATAATACCCATTTTATCAGCAGGTATAACTTGTGAAGCTGAATTTGAACCAGAACCAGAAGTATTTCAATGATAATATTCCTTCTTGTGGGTCTTATCACGAATTGTTAAAAGATCAAATCCCCCATCTTGACGTTCTTTAAGATGCGATGCCATTATATCCAAATAAGATTTACCATGTTTGGCAGTACAACAACCTATCTACAAAAAAACTTTATGAAATAATCCAACTGGCATATCTCTACTAAGTTTATGATGTTCAAATATTTGCTTTATTTCATAGTCACTTAGTGGATCAGCACCTTGATACTTTCTATTATGAATTTCCTCTAATTTTCATATTCTAGAGTGAAGAATATCATGAAAAGAAGCAAATTCAAAATCATCATGTAAGCTAAAAGGACCTATTTTTTTAAAGCTTTCAATAAAATATCTGTTTATTGCACATATTCCACTATACAATGAATCTGCTTTAAATTCACCTTTGTCTCATTTTCTAATTGCAACGATGGACTCAAAAAGTAAAATAGAAATTATTTTTTTTGTCATAAATTATGTCAATATCAAGATCAGGTTGTGTGTCCTTAACATATTCTTTAAATTGTGAGATCCAAAGCTCATTACTTTTTTGAGTATTTTTTGGAACTGCAATTTGCTTATAATGATTCAATGTATCAATAGATGAACGTTAATATTTAAATCGATTCTGTATTAAATAAATATAATTATATAAATTACATATTATAAATTAATAAATACTATGTTAAATAATAACCTCGATTGTTTTTTTATTTAATTTTACTGAAGATTCACTATTCGTTTCTAAATTTGAACTGGATTTTTTTAGATCATTCAACGCTCAAGTTACTGGATCGATTTGTATGATCTCAGAAGCAAGTTTAAAACCGGTTTCCTTAGAAATTAAATATAATATTAAAAACTTATTATTGCAACTAAATAAAATATGTATATATAAGTATTGAAATTTTCTAACTATATTTCTTTTTTTGAATAAAAAAATATTAAAAAGAAAGGTTTTTGACGAATTCCGCTTATATCCAACTGCCCAGGATATAACTATTACAAAAGTCCTGAGGGTAAAAACATTTTGTTTTTTTCACTAGAAATATTAATGAAACGTTTGAGGCGAATGCAACTAATTAAATGAAAGATCTTCAATGTGATTCCAAAAAGGTTAAAAGTCTGGATAGCTGGTTATGGACATATTATGATTAATGCTTAATATTATCTCTTGATAATTTAATTACAGTGTGTTCGTTTTATTTACAGGATGTGTAATACATTTTAGTAATGCTTTTTATAGGTTTTTCCAATTGTTGAAGCTGGCGACTATGGAGTTTTTATGAAGATATACTTGGTAGAATTCAGAGTCCTGTTTAACTTAATATTGAAATTCTTGAATATGGCTTTGATAATGGTGAGTTATTGACTATTGAATAAACGAATATTTACAAAAAATTTATTAAAACCAAAATTTATATTATACATTATTCAATAAAAACTAAATTCATCGATTACATCTAATTAATCCATAACATTCATTTAATATCAATCGCTTCGTTTAAAGTCAAAAATGTTATTTAAACCAAGATACTCCATAGTTACGGGTATTAAAGAAATAATATAAGCTTATGCAATATTAAAGAATTTTGAATATAAGTCTGATGATTAAAAACTTCTCAAAATTTAACTATTGTATTCAGTGTTGGGCAAATTAATAGTCAACCAAAAATTTGCTGGTCAAATTGGCATGGTCAAACTGGTCAAACCTATTATATAAATATAATCATAGTATAATTCCAAAAATCGAAGTATATATAATTTTATTGTATATTAATTATATTTGATTTATCCATGACTAAATAAATAAATTTGAATTTTTATATGCGAATCTCTAAAGAAATCCGAAAATGTAAAAAAGCCTTAAAACTTTAATTTGATATTTAAAATCATTTCCCTATAATTGATTAAAGTATCAATTTATAAAGTTATTTTATAGATAACTGTGCTATAATTTAACATGAAAAGTTACGTACATACACGTTAGCTATATAATAAAAATTTATATTTTTATTATAAAGTTAATTAAACATAATAAAAAAATTTATTTTGATGCAACTTGTATATTAAGGAAAAAATATAAATAAATATTTTAATAGCTAAAAATAATACAGAATAAACATTGTATCTGTGTCACTTCTATCATCTAATCTATAATTTAAAATAGGATTAATTGATTTGTAACCATAGGTTACTGTAACCGCAATTAAAGTCAGGTGTAACATAATTATTAAAACAATTTTTTTTTATAAAATAAAACCTTGCAATTAGGTTAGAGTTAGGGTGAGGCTAGAAATAGAAAAAAGTATAGTTTATATCAAAATTTAGCAAGGAATTTTTTTTGTTAGAATATAAAAAAGATGGTTTTATAGTTAAAATTTTGAGTTATTAATAATTTCTTTAAAAAAACTGTTTTTGTTTTGATTTCATGTTACACCTGATCTTAAAATTTGATTGGCTTTATTGGGTGCGGTTACAGTAACCATGGTTACAAATTTATTACTCCTTTAAAATAAATTAAAAATTAGCTAAATTGATCCGGTAGGTCAGTAGATTTTCGTTGAGAATGGTTAACTAATTTTAAAATATTAATTGCAACTTTATTATGTTATAAATTAGGGGTGGCATCTTATTTTACGCGTTGCAAATATGATGCAATGCAATATTGCAATCTCACAAAATCATAAATTTTCTTACCTAATCATTTCGAATGATTAACTTCGAATCTCCTATATATATATATATATATGGACTAAGGGCCACAAAAAAAAGGAAAACAAAAAAAAAACTTCGGAAAATCAGATAAACTTGAGCTATACTGCAATATTTTATTAATACAACACTTTGTGTTTTACCGATAAGTAAAAATGATCCTGATCTTATTATAAAAAAAAATTGTCGATTTCACTTCTTTTTACAGCACTTAGCCTATATTTATGACCTTGAATTGGTAAGGTTGTTCTGGAAAATTCGGATTTCCATGATCAAGGACTGTATTATTCTCTAGAACAAAAATATTTGGTTTATGAGCATTTCGATTCTATTGAAGTTACAAGTTTCCTGGTTTTACAGTAAGAAATTCTCCAATTCTTCATTAATGAATATACAATAAATTATATACTAACTATTATGTTGTGCTTGACCACAAATACACTATTTTACCAAAGGAATATTTTCAATAAATGCGTCTTGTTTCTTTATAATCTATACAAATTTCTGTTAAACCAAATTTGAAACTATTATATTCTATGTACAGTAGGGTGTGTGGCATGGAGGTCATTGGCATGCCACCATGGCATGCCCAAAACTTAAACGGCCTATAGGCATGCCATTTATTATGTTTTAATATAAAAAATTAAAATTTGAAGAAAAATTGAATCTAAGTTCCGAGATATTCCGAAAGATATAAGCCGCATATATATATAACTGACCAATCAAAATCGGGTATTTTATCACGTGTTTTGGTGGCATGCCACCTGGCATGCCTGGCACGGGCTTTGGCAAATGGCATGCCATCTGGCATGCAAGATTTTTTAGCCATGCCACACACCCTAATGTACAGGCTTTTGACCTTAGTGTTCCTATCCATTATCCGTTTATCCATTTATCCATCGGATATCCAAATCTAAATTTATTCGGATATCTGTTTTACTATTGATATCCGGATATCTGAACGATTTGAATTATCTGAATAATCAGATACGGATAAACGGATGACGGATTTATCCGGATTGGAACTCTATTTGACCTGTGACTTTGCCACGGTTCTGTAAAAACTCACATCTTGAGAATCTGTATCGGTATTTTCATTAAAGCATAGACTTGTTAACGGCTTATTTTAGTGTTCCTATCCATTATCCGTTTATCCATTTATCCATCGGATATCCAAATCTAAATTTATTCGGATATCTATTTTACTATTGATATCCGGATAATTATCCAAATACCTGTCGGATTATTCGAATATCTGAGCGATTTGAATTATCTGGATAATCAGATACGGATAAACGGATGACGGATTTATCCGGATTGGAACTCTAGCTTATTTGAAGCATAATGGAGCCAAGCCATACAAGCCGTTAACAGCTTTAATTTTGCATGGGTAATTGTAATATATTAGTTAAAAAATTTTTAATAATGCTTTATCGTTATATGCTACGTACCTACGTATTATTTTTTTTTTTTATAAATTGGTCATTTGGATAAATTTTTTCTAACAGAAATTTTTGATAAATAAGTGGGACCTTTGCTAGGAAAATCACTCTCCGAGCTAATTCGGACAAACTTAGACCAGAATACCGGATCTTATTTACATGTAAATCATCTATTAATTAAACTATAGCGATAGAACCAGTACGTATTCTGGTCTAAGTTTGTCCGAATTAGCCCGACCGGAAATAGACAGTTACAACAAGGTCATCGGACATGGCTGTGCCAGATGGGCCAGTGAAAACGTTCGAAATCTACAGGCGTCCAATTTTATCAATAACTGTTCTAAATTTAGCCTATTAAATGTACTAACGAACATTTGATTATGCGATTATAAATATATAGATTAATTGAACTTTTGTCTCGCAATCTGCTCAAATAGCTCTTGCTTTCTCCATATTCTATATCATTTAATTTCATTATTTGTGAAGAAATTCTTTAAAAAAAAAAAAAAAGGTCATATCAAAGAAAATAGTTATTTTCCTAATTGCTACATTTATAGCAGTATCTGCCTGTATGTGTTAATCGATATATTTATATTTATTTATTTAATCATATATTATCATATAATTGTTTCTTTTCCTTTTACATGCAGTTCCCGCACTACCCCCTGCCCAACCTAGTGCTCATCTACCTCCTGTATTCACTCCTCCTGTCCAATTCACTGTCCATCCCACTCGACCCCCTGCTCGACCTACTATCCAACCTCTTGCCCAACCACCCCCTGACCAACCTAGTCCTGTCCAATCTAGTCCTGTTCAATTCACTCTCCATCACACTGCTCCCCCTGCTCAACCTACTATCCAATCTCCTGCCCAACCCACTATCCAACCCCCCTAACGAGAATCATAATTGTACTGGTCCTTCCGGGTTTTGTGGTGCCGGATGTTATCAACAATTCAGTTTACCCGGTGCTTGTAACTGAAAATTCTAGCTCATTGGTTAATTTTATTATGTTATTTCAGACACCAAGCACGTTAAAAATTAGTATTTTGATGAAGCCTAATAATTAGATCTATTAGAATCACTTAGTATTCTATATATAATTAATGTAAATAAAATTATACAATTTATATTTTATTATAAAAAAAAAAAAGAATTTTAGAAGGTTTTTTTATAATAAAGAAAAAACATAGCTATCAAATAAAAAAACCAATTATTTTTTTTTAGTTTAATATAAAAAAAATAAAAGTTTTTTTGTAAATTAGTCAGAAATTAATTAATTATAAATTAATTAATTTTGTGCAAGTTAATAGCAAAAAAAAAGAATTATATAACTTAAAAATTAATTACAAACAAGAATTTACATATGAAGAAATTGAAATATTTAAAAATGAGATTATACAAGAATTATTTACTAAAAACTTAAATCAAAAGAATATTGGTTTTGTACAAAAACAAGTATTGGATACATATCACTTCACCAACACTTATTTCATAGAAACAACACTTCACCGAAATCACTTCACTGACATGTTCATTTTATAGACATTTAAAACACCAACAATCAATTTATCGACATGTTTATTTTACCGGGGTGTCCAACATTATAATTAATCAAAATTATGTAATGTCAATCAATAAATATATAATACGTAATAAATTTTCTAAAAGTTGTACGTTGAATTAACACTATTAGAAGCAAAAGCTTCTAATATTGATTTCATCTCTAATAGTGATTTCGTCTTCAGACCCAAGCTGATAGTATACGAAATTTAAGTGTAATTACGGCAGAGGTATACAACTTCTTATAGTCTTCTAGCATCCCTTTGCACCTCTCATAGTCTCGATAGAGACTATTATATGAGGATTTTAAATTATCCGCTGTAACAACACCCACAGACATGATATGCCTACTGGCAAATCAACCATTTGGGATAGACTACGGTCATCTATTAATAACTCTTGATTTTTATACAAGAATTTATTGTATGACCAATGTTTTTGGCGCATGGAGTTTAGATATTCAAAGATCGCTATTAACATCAAAAAACCGCTTTAAAGTCCTTAGTATTCTTCGAGCTTATCCGAATCATCCAGGGCGACCACCAAAAACGCTGGTGACGTAAGATTAGTTAGCGTCACTTATTGGCTCCCTTTTAGCTG